AGGAAATTCATGATACTTTGTATATTATCTATAAATGATAATTATATAAAAGCTTTAGTTTGGTTTGTTTCGAACTTCACGCAAAGCTACACGAGAGCTATATGCGCTGGATGTCCCTAATTTAGCAGTGACAGACTAGACTTAATAGAGGGAAAGCACTATCCCACCGCCAACTCTAGGGCTACTCTTTTATCAACGAATGCTCTCACGGCTGAAAAAGCGAGCATGTTTGGTGATGGGGTTCCGAGCTCGCGACCCTCAGATTGCAAATCGAGTGCCCTAACCATCGGGCCATATCAGGTCCTACAAGCTTTAAAACGGCATTGCGATTTATTACAGTGACTTATATATATTTTTCTACGAGCAATATTCATACGCTTGTTAACCAGCAACCAAGTTCTGGTCATGAAGTTTTAGCACATAATTCCACGAAGTGATTCAGTTTGTTTAACTCATGGTTGAGCTATCACAATACACTTTTCGTATTATAACTAACGAAATGATTATGTGTGATAGTTGCAAGCTTGACTGAGTTGTTGGCATGGGTTATTTGATACAACGAAAGGTTCACGTTTATTAACCCTTGATAGAGTTTCTGTCATGGATTTTTATTCTGCTTTAACCAAGTAAACGTTTGTCGTAATATATATATATATAATAAAGGAATTACTACAACGTTTACATTTCAGTTCTCAGATTTTTGGCTCATTTTAACACACGCTTTCACTGGTAATGAACCGCCATGATGAACAAGAGCATGGGTAATTCAAACTTGATGTTAAAAACAACTTGATTTTATTCATTTCACTGTAGTTTAAGATGCCGGAATAAATAGCCCCCTAGTGGCTCAAAGGCAACTCTGAAGACTTATAACGCTAAAAACTGGGGTTCGATACCTGTAGTGATCAAAGTACAGATAGCCCATTGTGTTGCTTTGTTCTTAACAACGAACAAACTGAAACAAATAAATAAACAACAACAAAAGTTATAAACTAACTACAAATTTAAGTTACTTTACCGTTTACAGTATGTGTATGAAAATCATATTTTAACCTCCTTTTTATTCTTCTTTTACTTTTTTCACTTTTTGAACTTCATTGTTAATTGATTTTCATTGATGTAATAAAAATGGATAATTTACATCAAATTAAAGTAAATGCATCAAAATTATCCAATTTTCAATTATCGTGTTCTTTACGTTTTAATGCTTAGTTTACAGTAGACTTTTTTTGGGTTTTAATAGTAAAATAATAGTCGCAACTAACACAGCAACTACAGCAAAAAACAGCAACAAAAAACAATAAACAAGCACAATTAAAGAACTTAGTGTGGGTTTAATGTGGGTGTTGTTCAACCATTCAATAAAGGCTGGGAGTATTTTAGTCGTGAGTGTATACAAACTGTGAATCCGAGGATTCAAGGTTCGAGGACTTTAGTCGTAAAAAAGCACTCCTCACTTTAGGGCTGTGGACGCACTACAAGAGTGACGGGTAAACTACCACTATTTTCCAGGCAAAACTATCTAAGAGTTGGCGGTTGGTGCTGCTGGCTAGTTGCGTTCCCTCTAGTCTATAAATCCGAAACTAGGAAGCCAGCCAGAAATCCGAAAGTAGGGAGCTAACCATAAATCTGAAACTAGGGAGTCAGCCATAAACTCGAAGACAGGGAGCCAGCTGTAAACACGAAACTACGGAGCCAGTCAGCCATAAACTCGAAAAAAGGGAGCCAGCCATTTGCTCACGACGCTCTTGCGTAGCTTTGCGTAAAAACTAAAATAGAAGCAAAGAATCTATTCAAAAGCTAAAACTCACCGTTTCTGAGTACGGTTGCAGAGTTGTTTTTTTTAAAACTAATTAAGATGCTTAACTCAGAAAAAAGGAAAGTAAAAATAACAAATGTAATTTGAAATCTTTATTGTTAGACCACAAGTATATATATATATATACATATATATTAAACGCCCATGCTTATATCCAAGATAAGAGGCATCATCACGAAAATATTATATGTTAAGCCTGATATATGCCCATTTTATGTTTATAATTATTCTGCATAATCACATGTCTTTCACTTCACAAAATACCTAAGAAAATAACACGCTTACTAAGTGAAAGTATAGGGTGCGCAGACCAATGGAAGGCTCTATAAATCCCACTCTCATATTCTCCTATACAAGCTTTATATAATATACTTTGCATAATTGCTATTAAACTCGTTATAATAGTTGATTTGTAGTTCTCCTCCGGCCTTCCAGTCGGCGCACACAACTAGTCTGCTACACAGATACATAACACGCATTAACATGCTAGAGTATTGTAGCTGTCTGTATTATATTAACATGTTAGGGTTATGTGGCTGTCTGTATTATCTGTTGAAACTAGGCGCGAAAGTGAAAATGCCATTATATATATATATATATACACAGACGGAGACAAAAACGTGCACCACTCACAATGCTCGACTCAAAGTGGATTCGGATAGGATAGTTACTCACCTTCAAAGCAGACGGCAATCAAGTGGATCTCCAAATGACCGTTATTAAGGGTAAAGCAAGCAACTCAGTACCCCTACACGTCTAGTAATTTTCAAATTACGAAAGCTGTCAATTCCCTTTCCCCCCCTGTCTATAGATGTAATTTCATGAAATTATGTTAATTATTTCGATCGGCTACAATAAGTAGCAGCATCCAATGAGAGAAATCAAGTCGCCAATTTTCCAAATTGTTACCCGTTTAAATACCTTTATATATCTAGGGACTCCAAAGAGAACAGACAGAAGGTTGTGGTACTCTGTTATGCCTAGACCGAAATCACGCGAATCGTAGTTTTGTTTGAAGTGTGGCGAAAAAGGTTGCGAACGTAAACAGGACATAAGAAGGCAACCAGCAGCGAGAGTTAAAGAATTGAAGTTATAAAGAGTTTAGACGGTAGGTTGTTTATGGATATTACAGATACACGTTTTGTGAAATCGAGTGTGGTCAGACAACGTATTCTATATACATAGACGTATTAATATGCTTAGGAGGTCACAATATCTAACCTTATAAATTCACTTCCAAGTCCTTCATGGTATTTTAATGCGATAGTCAAAGTTTGTTTGTTTATTTTGAAGCTAAGCACAAAGCTACATAATGGGCTATCTGTGCTCTGCCAACCACGGGTATCGAAACCCTATTTCTAGTGTTGTAAGTCCGCAGACATGCCGCTGCGCCACTGGGGGGCAGATTCAAAAGAAATGTTTAGCAGATAAATACAATATTTTCAGATTTAAAGTTATCTGTAGGTATAGAAAAACATTCTAATACTAACGTTAGCAAAAATTGTACAATATTTTAACTTAAAATTGATTTGGATTTGTAAGTATTTAACGAATATCATTTATATGTTTGTAACTGTGTGATAATTATAGTTTTCCAAACTTGGTGAACGTTGCAGAATTTGTACAATATTTTAACATAAAATTGATTTGGATTTGTAAGTATTTAACGAATATCATTTATATGTTTGTAACTGTGTGATAATTATAGTTTTCAAAACTTGGTGAACGTTGCAGAATTTGTATACTCCGTAACCAACGTCTGTTAATATGTGTTGGTTTGAAAATAAAAAAATGAAAGATCATTCTAGTAAACTTCTAAGAGTTAATTTAAGTAATAAAAAAAGACATAAAAAACGTATGTTCTATAAGCATAATACACTTAAAACTCGCCCTCGGGCTGTTCGTTGTCCCTGTGGCTTCTTTTTCCGCATGGGCGGCGAACTTATAAGTTTGTAGGCCTACTTTCTGGAAGAAATTCATTGTAGCACGCCTGAAAAGTTTCCGGGAATGATAAAGAATAACAAAAAAAACTCCAACTGAGAAAGCTGGAATTGTCGTCCCGTGAAGGACACAAATGAAAGAACACAGGAAACAGGTGCCTGATACAGCAGTACGACTGTTGTCTTGGCTAGCTGTTAACAGAGATAAATCCAAGTTAGTGTAGCCGTAAAGAAGAAAACAGCGTTTGCTACTTCATTTCATAACAGGAAGTACACTCTAGCACATTGTTATATATTAAGTCATATGGGTTACAAAACTAAGGGTTTCATATCATACAAGCTATACTGTAAAGTACATATCATTTCAGTCCAGTTTGTTAAGACTGTACAAGCCTGCAGTCAGGATACGCTGAGGCTACTCGATGAAACTGTACGTTTTTATAGTACACAGTATAAGCGGCAGGGCAAGATAAATTGTAAATGAGCTAAGCAATTTAGATGACAGGATAAGATGGCGATCTAGAAAATGGGGCTATGAATATCAAACTGCATCGTGCTTTATAGACTGCAAGAAAAGATACTTTTCTTAGTAGTTTATATAGGTTACATGAAGGATAAGGTGGATATTTAGCCAGAGTATGTGTTGTGCAATGGCTCCAGCAATATATGTAGCTTATAGACTACAGAATTACATAGATATCCAACCTGACTATGAAATACAGACTACGGAATAAGACAGATATCTATATTGGAAAAAGAAAAGCCAGGTGATTAATTAGCTACGACGCAATTATTGTTGGCACGTTTTTCGTGTTTAATTGCAAAGCTACACAATGAGCTAGCGATCTGTGATGTGCTAACCGAGAGTAATGACACCCGATTTTTTAGGGTTACAAGTCTTCAAAACTTACCGCTAAGATACCAGAGACCATTATGGGTTAACAAAACAGATGTGTTGGTTGATGAGAGGCTAACAAAACAGATGTGTTGGTTGATGAGCAATCTTTGTGTTGAATTTTATACATTCGATAATAGTACTTGTAAATTATGACTAAGTATCTCAGTAAACACAATTTTCAACTGAAAATCTGACGTAAACATGTTGGAAAACACCTAAAAGTTGTATTTATAAGACTACGTCTGGAGAACACAATTTGTGTTGTTGTTGTTAAATAACAAAATACTTGTTTTGACTTGCAACACAACTTTATTTTACAGTATATCAAAAACAAAATACACCATAATATAGATAATTAATACTTATCGAGATTAGAAAACACAGACATAAAAACAACACCAGTATTTAGCCACATTAAGATTTGCTTGTTTATTTGTTTGAAGTTAAGCACAAAGCTACACAATTGGCTATCTGTGCTGTGCCCACCACAGGTATGGAAACCCGCTTTCTAGCGTTGTAAGTCCGCAAACATAACGCTGTGTCACGGGGAGGGCCCAGATTAAGAAATATAGGCTCAATAATAAAATAAATATCTGATCAGACTATGAATTATGTATCTATATAAATATAATAGTACTATCTGTTGTGTGTTGTATGTCCATGTAATTACTTCGCAGGGTGTGGATATATCTTCACTAAAATTGGTATGAAGGTCCGCGGAGGGATACCTGCAAACTTGCGGTTCCACATTTCGTGTTTTGCAGTTTTTGCGCGTTTTTAACAAATGTCCTAAGATAACCTTTCATTAATCAAAAATTTACATAATTTCCGTCCAGGGGAAGGGAACTTCAACTAGTTGATAAATAAGATAAACAAAGTATGTGGAGAATGTGTGTAATTTTGACGCGTTTTTGATATAAGACAGATCAAGTATATATTTAACTGCTTTTATAAGCTTAACGTTTATGATAGTAGTTTTAAGACTCTAGATAACGGTTTTGTATTTTCTTTTACTATGGCAAGTATGCTATAGGAAAAAAGTTTCCGCAAATTTTACACAGCTGTAAATCATACAAAAGAAGATACAATTCATTTAACGTTTTATATTGTGTCGTTATAATGTCCACAAACAAGATTTGTAGCCTTTCAGGGATTGCTTCAAAACATAGTGAATGAAATGAATAATTTTACAAACCACTTTACATACAAGTCACAGCTAGAGCATGATTCTACTATGCTGTTGGAAACGGTTATGTTTCAGATGTTTTGAATGAAATGAGCAATTTTACAAACCACTTTACATACAAGTCACAGCTAGAGCATGATTCTACTATGATGTTGGAAACGGTTATGTTTCAGATGTTTTGAATAAAATGCGTATTTTTGCAAAGTATGTTAAGCAAATTATAACTAGAATATGAATCTGTAGTGCTGTTGACCATATCTATGTTTCAGAAGCTTTCTCGATAAGATGCTCTTTATTGCAGACAACGTTTGCACTCAAGACACAGCTAGAGCATGAATCTATAATGCTGTTGTCGGCATGTTTTAGAAACTTTCTTATAAGATATGTAATTTCCCAGACTACGTTACTAAAATATGATAGAATATGATAACGTTATTTCCAGCCTAGAGAAAAGAAAAAGTATGCTTTGACCTAAACGTCTCACATAGTGCAACTCAATAGAACGTTTTAGTTCATAGAAAGTTTCTCAAGATATCACTGCATAAGATGTATAATCTCTCACTCTCAATCTACCATAACCTCGCGAGAAACATGCCATTAAGGGTCTTTGAACCATGTACCCAGAGCGAATGGAAAACATTAAAACCCCGTCATTATATCGTTATCCATATAATGGATAAATGTAAAAATTGTATATAATAAATGTTGTCGTCTCATTACTATATAAGTAGAGCGTATACAGTAAGGTCAAAGACCACAATATTTAGGCACATAATGATTCCTAACTTAGAACTACTGACCTGAGCTTAAATGCAATTTTTTTTTCAAAATGTCTGTATTACTCTCCACAACTCAGCTAAATTGTTCAGCTGCCATTTGACCTTCTCAATTTCCATATAAATCCATTCAGCCTTAATAATATTCATATCAGCACTCTGTGGAGACCATGCCAAGGTCGCAAATTCCAACCATCTCTATATGCTTTTTTGGAATTGTTTTCATCACATGTTTGGAATCACCGTCTCTTTATAAGATAAATCTCTGCTCAACGGGTCTTGTTCCTGAGGAGAATGACATAATACATAAAAATGTTTTGTACCAGTCAGCAGTCAGTGTGCCATCAATTTTATGTAGATTTCCAGCATTGTTGTCAGAGATACAGCCCTCATTTGTAGTAATTCAGTAGCATACTTCAGTGCAGGTATTTTACGTTGACTTCGATACCACTATCCTCTCTGCTATGTAACATATACTATCGTTGATTGTTGCCAAACAATTTGAGTTTGGGTTAGTTAATCTGTAGAGAGCACCCTTCTTCAGGTTTTTTCATCTCATTGCTGGAAGCATGTTATCTTTTTCAATCCTTTGGTTTTTCGTGATCTCTTTTAAACAGCGATTTTTGAGCATCTTTTCATCTACTGGGGCAACTTTGTCCTTATGGAGGTACACATGTTCTTACAGTAAAGTCATTGAGAAAAGCTCTAATGGATTGTCAGTATACCCCATAAGGATTATACCTTGGGCCACTTAACATCGTTCTGAATAACTTGGGTTTCCCGCCTCGACTGCTTCTATTATCAACCGTACTAGTTTCATGCACCCTCCTCAGAATTTCTATGCAACTTCTACTGAAACATCGAATTTCTCGTTAATCTGTCGCATGGAGAAGGCTTCATCAACAAAAACGTTGATTTTTTTTTACGTGTTCACGTGGAAATTCTATCTAAGAGCCAGGAGTCGATCACAAAGACACTACTGGGATTAGTATGTATTTTATAGGTAGTATGATGGTATGACACGTTCGATTAGTTGGATGACGACCAATCACATTGCAAGCTACCTACACCGATTGTACTCTGATGCAGTTTATTTTTCTACAATAGAGGAAGGAAGGGAGGCAATCCCATAAAATTTTGAATTTTATTCATCGTTTTTATAATTATTTGGCTTTATTAGTTAGAAACTTCATATTATTAAATCAAAAACGGATCTAAACATGTATGATCTAGTAAGTAACATTACTTACGCCTTGATGTGATAGTGTCTGAGCCCACAAGGTATTTGAAAACTGACCAGTAGGGTGG